TGGGGAGGGAGGGGGAAAATGAGGACCTAATGCCGGGGGCTTAAGTGGAGAGGAAATGTTTTGAGAATGATGAGGGCAATGAATGTACAAATGTGCTTCACACAATTGATGTATGTATGGATTGTGATAAGAGTCGTATGAGCCCCTAATACGATTAAAAAAAAAAGGGAAAAAATCCTTCTGGAAACCTCATTTTCTCTTCAGGTCTTTAGCTGGTAAAATGAGGATACAGCAAATTATTGACGATAATCTACATTACTCACCATTACTGGTTGTAAATATTAATCACATGTGCAAAATGCCTGAACAGCAACATCAAGAGTGGTATTTGATTAAAGAACTTAGTACTGGAGCCTAGCCTAGTTAATTAATAAAATTAACCATCACTCATCCCAAAGGGCACACACAAAATTATCTCATTAACAGAAATTTGATCTCTCAAGGGAAGTTAAGACAACAGTTTAACAAGTACATTTTTAGCTTTTGTTTTGTGTGTTAGATTCTGCCTTTTGGGGACAATTTGTGACATGCTATAAGTCTGAATTCTCTAAATTGTCCATTTTTTGCTCCTTTAGGGAATGAAGATATTGCCATATTCCTGCTTCAGCATGGGGCTTTTTTCTGCTCTTACATCCTACTGGACAGTCCTAAGCCCAGCAAACATATCCTCAGGAAATATTTCATAGAAGCCAGTGCCTTGTCCAATGGTTGTCCAGGAAAAGTGGTAAGTACAACTTCTACTGAGGATATGAAATCTGAGTTTCATATACTTTATCAAAGTTTGTCGTCTCAAATTTAATTATGTGATGGTTTTAAACAATCACTCTCTAAAATTTAAATTTTTTCTTTCTTAAAATTTAAAATTATAAAATTCATTTGTACCTAATACAAGTGAAACAAGAGATGAAATAAAATTTACTTCTCTGCCCCCACCTGAGATAAGTAATTTAACAACCCATAAAGATTTTTTACACCTTTCCCCTGCAAAGTTACAAAAATATTTTAACCATCTATAGGGCTTAGTTTGTTTTCACAGGGTTTATTTTATTTTTTATGATTTAGCTTATTTTTTATAATATAGTTTCATTTTTGTTTTAAACCTGTAAGGGTTTAGGTTTAGATGGAAGAAGCACACCAGCCTATGCAATCAGGAGGTGTCG